AATTTACTGTGATGATCATTCTTCACTTTCATTAACTTTTCTTATTTGCATTACAATGTAATTCAACGTGGATGCGAGACAGTTTCGGGCATAAACTACAAAAAACAAAAAAAAACAAAACCCGAAATTGGGGCTATTTAGCTCTCATCACATGTCAGCATAAAACATAAATTCATACCACAAAGAATGACCTCGTTTGATGGCTGGTAGCCCTCAAGAGCTCGAAAAAAAAAATCATAGACGTTAAAATCTGAAACGTTTCTTGTTCAGGAAATGCGTATAATTCTCTTCATTTAGTCCATAACAGATACAACAAATGCGTCAACAAATTAATTTCGAAACATTTGCTATGGAACAACAAGCATATAATAATGTACACATAAAATATATATGAAATCAAATCACATCTATATCCTTATTTCACAATAATGATCTCTCAGACGTATGAAACTTAAGGTCACTTTTTTATGAAATGTAGCTGGTTTTGTCACTGTTCTGCGCATCATTAGAACCTTTATCAGGCGCAGAGTTTTTATCAACATTATTTGATTCTGATTCGTTTGCTGGATTGTCAGACTCATTTTGGTTTTCTTGTTTCTCCTCTTCGTCATCATCATCGTCATCATCTTCCTCAGAATCCTCAGAATCTTCTTCATCAGATTTCTCTGGCTCGGAGCTTGGTGGCGTGTCTTCATCCTTCTCTCTGGCCGCGGGACTTGCTGCCTTTTCTGGAGATGAAGTCTCTCTCCTTGAACCATCATCTTGTTTTTTCTCTTCCTCACTCGGTGCTTCAACATGGGTAGATTTATCATCGTCCACGTTTGACGAGGTTGAAGGTTCCTGGCGTTTATCGTTGGGTGAGAGCCGAGAATTCAGCTCCGTCTCTTTGGAGCTCTCCGCAGCTGCCCGTGATTCTAAATCTTCATGCTGCCAGGCTTGTATTTGCGGCTTCTCTTTATTGTCCTTGGCTTGATTCAACTTTGAATTATCTTCCACAGTCTCAATGTCTTCAAAGTCTTCATTTCCCTCATGCCTGCCTTCGGTGTCCTGGTCTTTATCGCCGGAACTCTTCCTTAAGTCTTCGACCTGTTCAAGTACTTCCTCCAAAACTTCTTCCGTCGGAAGTAGATCGATTGGCTTTTCCTCCTTTGTTTGATGTGTGTCTTTCACTTCAGCCGCCTTCTCCTGGAGCAAGCCGCTGGCCTTAAACACATTACCAACTGTTAAACTATCTTCCTTGTTATCTTCCTCTTTAAGTCCTGCGTATTCTTGTACTGGAGTCTCGTTTTCAAGCTGTGTAGGCGGCGAAGCAGATATTGTGAAATTATCTTGAGATACTCGGAGCCCACGAGTAAAGGTTGTGAGGTCTGGGGACAAGTTGGATACTATGTCACGCGGTGACTCGACAGACTCAGTTTTGACAGTTTTTGACTGGTCACGTGGCAAGAGTTCATTGCTTTTGTTTTCGACATTAGTTTTTGCAAGATGAACCCTTGGTTTCCGTTTCGAGTTATTCTTCTTTGGCAATCGTCCTTCTTTGTTGGTCAATTGACCGTTGCCGATTTGAGGTAAAAATGGTGCTCGGGGACTCCTTGATAGTGAAGACGCTGCACCGCCATAATTGGCTCGTTTAAAAAACTTCCCTCGTTCGACAGCCACGTAATTTTGTCCCGAGACTAACTGCGAGGGGGCTAGCAGCAGCTTGCCGTCGATTGTATATAGCGCAGCGATGGCGGCCGCCACGAAAACGTGCTCTTGCACAATGTTTAAAATTTGTTCCATACTTTGCTGCAATCGCTTTTGAAGTACGATTTTCACACTCGGTCTGAACACATCTCCATTACAGAACACGTGAATGATTTTCAACTCTCGTTTGCCCCACTCGTAATCCATCTTATGTCTTCCCTCCGTCACAATGACCATTTTCTTTGGAGAATTGTTCGTCTTACGAGGCGGACGCCGCTTTGAAATGCCCAGATCGGCGTAGTTCAGCTTTTTAAACTCTTCTCGTCCTGCCGCCACGTAGACGCTCTTGTTTTGAATATTCTCCAAGCTCTGGATTGGTCGACCGCCGATGGGTGTACAAATTTTCCTCACAGCATTAAACGCCGCAATGTGCGCCGTAACTTCATCATACAGGGCGTCCATTGTCCGGATGTGACGTCTGTTGATAACAAGCGTTTTACCAAGAAAGTTGCGGTTTCCATTCTTGTACACTTTTACTGTGACTGTCGGAGCAAAATTGGACGCAACTGCTGCCATTCTGGGTGTCTGTTAAGAGAAAGGTTCAATGCATATTGATCAGTAAGCAAACTCGACTCAGCTTATAAGACATGGAAAGGAAATAAAGTCTATTTCTAAATCTGAGCGCGTTTCGTATTTGNCCGGCTTCAAAGTTTGGCAAGCTAAATAAAATGACAACAAGAATAAAAGTGAATTGAATTATCGATTTTGAATTCCTACCGATAAAGAGATGTTACCGTGGTGATGACGTAATAAAAAAGATTTTCTTCAGCTGTTCCACGAAAAACGATTTGACCGCAAACACAATTTATAAAGTGCAGTCGATTTCAAGCAAAGCATCAATATTCTCATTTGTTCCCGTAATGTTACTTTTTTTGTGACGGGAAGTCCGATCATTTGGCCGGACCTTTAACCGGAAAGAAAGCAACGTCAAAATTATTTTTGTTCTATTTTAGTATACGCTTGAAAACACTAACATCATCCATTATGATTGATCACCACGAAGCGGTCGTTATTTGAACTTATTGCACTGCGATTTGCCAAGTAATAAGTCAACAAGTGTAATCCTTCTCGTTTCAAATTTAACCATTTTTATTTGGTGTGGAGCAGATACAAGTGAACTTGTAACCTAGGTTTGTGAGAGGGCTATGCAAGGCAATAATTTTCACTATGCTGTCCTATAATTTTGTAACCAATTTATATGCATTCGTGTTTATAACGTCGTTTCCAAAATACAATTATTTCAAAAGAACGACACAGAAATCCCGGACAGAAATGGAACATATATTATTAACTATGGAAAAAAAGATTCTAGCTTTACCTACCTTTTCAATGATTCACTGCTGATTTACAAGAGGTAGAAATTCTTCTTTTCGCTATTTTCACTCGACTCGATCACTTTTCACGATCCAACATGGCTGCTTATTTCCGTTCGCGATGTCAAGACGAGTACCATATGGAAATTTCTGATGCATTTAAATGACTAAAAGGAATTGTTTACAAGTGTCAAGAAATGAAATTGCATCGTTAATTTCTTTGTCCAGTTAATAGTTTTCTCTTAGTTGCCAATAACGCACTTGGAAGCTGGGTTCGAATAATAGATCTTTTTCACCAGGCTAATCACTGCGGCTATATAAGTGATTCTAAACTAACATAGTGTAAGATCGAGGCGGAAATGTATCCCGTGTTTCCAAGGTTACGCATACATAGCAACAAGCTACTGACGGTGGAAGCAATTGCGAAGTAAAGTTTGTTTCGCGTCACGTACAACGGACTAAGCGAAAGAGGGACTACTCGTAGTCTACTGTCAACTCCCAGCCGTAAATGGAAAAGTGTTTAAAAAAGGTCGAGACGTGTTTACTGTTGAAGATGCAAAACACTTTGATCGCTAGGCAAGAAAGCTGACCGTATAGGTTATCAAAACACATCGTGTGGTTTTTGTAAATTTAAAAACGTCTTCTGTGTTTGTAGTGAAAATACGGCTTGAATATAAATTATGGTAGAAGATTTAGATAAAAATATTTATTTTAATAGACGTGGAAACATCATTATGCTCGGCCGAGCGCTGGTGAAAAGGACGATATGTACATATGTGCCTGAAGAGCGTGTTTGAAGAGAAGAACCTAAGAAGGAAAACCTTACATGTAAGACAGCGAAAACAAGGACCAGAATGTAAAAAGTTAAATAAAAAAAAAAAACATTATTCAAACATTATTTAAATTCACCTTAGCGAAGTTTTACGTACCATAATTTATATTGAAATCAAACATGAGATCATATCGAAGTTCGATAGAACCTTTCTATTTACTGGAGACCAAAGTTATCGATAACTAATTTTCTTCCACGAGAGCTGTGGCAACTAGGGATCGTCAGTGCATGTGTTGGCGCCAAAACTGCCAACAACAAACACTATAGGATGTTGCCAACAACGTACAGCTAAAAATTTGAAAACTAGTTGTTTTTTAGCACAATTCCTTCGTTAGTTATTGACAGCTCCAGTAGCCATTAATTACCATGCAGTTGTCGCTCGGTGATTGATGAAAGTCAAGTTATCAGGGTGACTGGAGTGGGACTTCCAAAAGAAAGGAATTTCAAGCTAGCTGGACTGAATGTTTTTTTTTTGTTCTAAGTATAATATTCATATAATTGCAGTCTTTCTCCTTCCTCAAAGTATTCGAGATTCACAAAACAGACAAAGTGAATTTTTTTTGACGGAGTTGTATTCGATTTGGAAAAAGTATCCGATTACAAAAGCCAGGATCACTTTGCAAAGGACGTCAGATCAACTGGTGTAACACTGCACAGAGTATGGTCTGTGACTCGTCAGTTCACCCGTATTGCAAAGTCGAACGAGTATCCTTCGATGTCTGCCAGAAAGACCTCCTGACAGATTCTTGTCAGGCTCTATTTTCACAACTGCCTAATTAAGTCATTTACATACCTGCGATAATGGGAATATCGACTCCGTCGCCTTAATCGACTTCATCGCATCGAGTTTGTCAGCTTGACCCGCGACAGAGCGAAAAGCTTTGAGGGAGCAGATATTTACGCTATAACAATGCAGGTTAATCTACCAGCCATCTCTAGCAGCTACTCTTCGGGATTGCGGGCTTCCATATGCTCTTCCTCAGTTCTGTCCTTCAAATGTTTAGACTTCCAGATACCGACTGAGTTATGAAGGGAGTGAGAAACTTATAGCTACTCTCGGTGAGCAAAGTTATTCACTACGTTTATATTGAAACGGGTCCTGCATGCTGTGAATTAGCAAAGTCGAAAGCATCCAGTTTGGAGATGAATAATGAACAATGGTTAGGCTCAATGAATAAATGTACGTAAACACCCATTTATGCTGAAGAAGGTTATTGTATTTTTAACCGAAACGTTCACACAAAGAGTTTTTAGTGAGTGTCAACAATTTTTAATTCTTACTATTATCATGCCTGACTGCAACTACGGTATTTTTTAACACCCGTTTTGGTAAAGTTTATTTTAAATTGCAAAACCACTGTTAGTAGTGACAATATAGTTACCAAGTGTGTCAAAATACACAAAATGTTTCTCAATGATATCTAACATAGATTATTTCAAGGAACAGATATGAATTTACCAACAACCAGAAAAATTGTTCTAAAAATGCGTATGCTTAAAATACTTCATTTAATTCGTGGTCATACTAATCCAATTTGAATTCTGTCTGACAAATGACTTTTTTATGCACCCATCTTGTGCAATGGTTCAAAGTCAAAGTGCAAACTTCAGGAGTTATTGTGGCGGGTCTTTCCAAATCGTCCCATCCTCCTTATAGTATGGACCTAAATTCCAAATATACATTTCGTGATTGTTCCTTTCTTTGCAAACAGGCTTGGTATTTCGTGTGCACATGGTACACACATACTGGAGAGTATCCCCTCTCCACGAATGTGCAAAGGGACAGCGACTTGTTGATCTAATGTCACAGGTTCGTTTTGTGTGAATCTTGCATTCTCTCGACTTCTCAACACCAAGAACCCATGAACCATGGTGAAGTTTTCCTGTTTTGTCAACGTACCTGGGTTTAAATACTTGTTTTTGCTTTCCTCTCTCACGAGTCCCTTGTACGCTTTTCCAGGTGCGACCTTTTGTAGGCAACGAATTGCAAGCTACACCCTGCTGCTGTTTAGTCGTAGATTTTGTCATTTGTTCCTCTCGTCTTGAGCTTCCAAGTTGTAGGGCAGAAGCGTACGACGCCCACTTTGGTACAGTTTGGTGATGAAGGTCATCAACACTGGCCCACGATAGCATACTAGTTGAAAAACCTTCGGAACTTGAAGACAACTTGGGATTTGGGACCATTGTTGGTTTGTCACGACAGCTACTGGGTACCGCGTTAAGGTTATGTGGCATGGACGAGCTGATCGGTTTTTCCTCTTGATATACAGGAATACTGCAAGGAAAGCCGGAAAAGTCAGCTGATAGGACATCTAGGTTCTCAGCTTTTGTCACATCTGGCTCTTGACTTCTTTTCGTTGCTGAATACTTCGGCTCACGGAATTTTCCCCTTTTAGAGACAGGCGTGCCATAGTTGTCTTTGTGATTTGCCGCCTCGCGGCTCAAAATGGCGTAGGTGTCGTTGTCGACGGGATCATACGCATAAGGACCGGCAACAGAAAAGCCAATGTAGAACCACAAGTCATCTTTGCTTTCATATGGATAACGTGTGTCGTCAAAGCGTAGCTGAATTCCTTGGTACGTTATGACACCTTTGAAATTGACGTCTTTTTGACCGCACACTCGTTCCAGCTTCTCAGAGATATCCTTACTTCTCCAAAAGTCGGTCTTATTTTCCCACTTTGTCTGAAATTCTTGGCTGGTTACAAAGGCGTACAACCCGATTCCCTTTCCAAGGAAGTACTCAGCGGCCGATTTCCGAAATCCTTTTCCCGTCTTGTCTCGTACAATTTTGTCGCACTTTTTAATGGACAACTTTGCAGAATGACTGAAAGCAGCAAGGCTTCCATTAGGAGTAGGAAAGTGGATCATGTAGTTGAAAAGGTGAGCCCATTCCGAACTGGGATACCTGACAACCCATTTGCTCACAATTTTGTCAAGCTCATCAACGGATGGTCTTTCCTTCATACGCAAGCAGGCCTTGCAGCAAATTAGGAGATCGTCTTGGCTCCCAAAACCACGAAGACAAAGTGGTTTAAGCAGATTGTAAATCAGTGACACATCTCCATCTCCTAAGTTGGCCCAGGAGCTGTACGGAGTCTCATCGTGCTTGAAAAGAATGTCTTGAACAATCTGTTGGTAAAGAGCAGGTGCATCTCTCGTCAAAGGGGATGAAAGGATCGGAACGTCCTCTTCACTGAGCTCACTTCTGTCGAAACCGGTAACTTCGTAAAAGGTTCGCCGCAGTTTTGATGCCCTTATTTTTGCATTACTTAGGCCTCTGATCTCGTTCTCGTCGTACGTGGTCATTCGGAGCTTAACATCTCGGAAGAGTTCGTTGAAGAGAGCAAGTGTGCCAGTACTGAGTTCCTGGACATAGCTGTGTTCTTCTTGCCTCAGTGTGTCTTCCATTTCTCTTGGAATTTCGAATTTCTTTAAATACCTTGTAAATCTTTCACTCTCGAGACGAAAACATGGTAATCCTTTTACAATTTCAAGAAGGGAGACCATGGCTTGAATTTTTCCAATCATGGAGTAGTGATTGAGAGTATTCGTCGTGCTAAGTGCTTTGTCATACACTTCCAGTGCTTTTCGACATATATCGATCACTACAGGCAACGAGCAGGGAAGGTTAGGCAGTTCCTCTGGCTTGAAGTCTCTAAGCTGCAGAAGGTACAGAACTCCTTTTGTCACGTAGTGATGACTGTACTTAGGCTGCTGATTTATGGCGATATCTACCGCAACGTGTGCTGCTTCGATACATGTTTCTGGCATTGGCAGTTTGACGTCTGCTTCCTTGTTCATAGTGGAGTAGAGACGATGATGCAGGTCATCCTTTGAGTCCATTTCTTTCGCACGCATCTCATAACCCATGAACCGAGCCAACTGTTGCCAAGCATATGCCTTCTCCTCAGTTTGGGATGCCTTCTGGCAAATTGCGATGAGTAATCGGAGGGCTCCTCGAATACCACTGTCCCCCTCCAAGATGTCCACTATCAAAGGAGAATACCTGGTGCGCACTTCATAGAAGCCAACAACTTCGGCCTCAATATCAGAATCAATACTACCATCATCTTGTGCCAGATCCTCCAGAACAACTGTATCGGAAATTCTCTTGCGATCCAAGAATAGCTTGAAAACTTGCTCCTTCAAGAATTTGTTCACGTAGGCTTTTCCTTTGTGAATCTTTTCCAAAAGTAGAATCGCAGTGTCTTCGATGTTTATTCTAGACTTTACAACCTCACTGACCAGAGAATGTGCTGGCCTCCAGCCGTGGTAACCATTTGTTTCATTGTATCCTTCCAGGAGAAGTCCTCCAAAGATCCTGTGAATGTTTTGCATTAACGCGCACTCTTCGCCTGTTTCATCACTGGCTTCATAAAGAAAGTCACTGGCAACTGGATGGGGAAGGATAGCGCGTCCATCGCTGTAATAATGCAGAAAGCAGCAGAAATTAAGGACCATCTCATGAATTTCTTGGGAATCTCCCAAAAAGTCGAGGGTACTGTTGATATGGTTCTGAAGCCTTTTCTCGATCTTGTCATAGTCGCGTCCGAAAAGCTCCAACCCGAACCAAATGAAACGCTTTTCCCTTTCAAGAACTTCTTCTGCTCCTCTTCTTCGTTCACTGTCACTTGTGATGTTGATTAGGATATCTTTCACAAGGCTCATCTCCTTGTCATCTAATTGTCGCAATGAAGTTATGTCGAAGTCTGTGTTAGTACTCAGTTTTCCAATCGGGAAAGTTGACAGAATGACGCACTTGGTCTGTCTTTTTTCAATCTTCTCCGTTAAACGTCTGGTTTCATTCTCAGGGAAGTTATCAACCAGAACTAGAGCAGGAAGTGAAAAGTTAATGTTCTTTTCTTCGTAAATGATTCCTTGCAGTTGCTCGATTTGATAATCTGTAGCCGGTGTTATTGCCTTAACGACAGCACAACGATATTCTTCTCGTTTGTTCCACAGGATTCTGCGACACAGGGTCGTTGCACCTGATCCCGGTTCATAGGGAACAGTGACAGTCTTGACGTGACAGCCCGGGTCCTTACCAGGTTTAGACAACGACTTCAGTGCATGCTCAATTTTCAGGTTCGTCTCCTCTTCAAGTGTTCTTGGGATGCAATGGTTATGAAATAAGTTGGTTTGGCTTGCTTGGGCGCCCTTGTAAAAGGCATTCCTTGCTTTCTCGATGTCCTCTGCTGAACTCGGCAGTCTAGGATTTGGAATGTAAACTTCAAGATCATCCCATGAATGGATCACTTTGTTAAGGACTTCTTTGAGCTGACCACTGAAATACGGGAGTTCAGTTGTTGCTCCTCTCTCTTCAAACTTAGTCGGCCCAACCATTTCACGGACGATTTCTTTCAGCAGGCTCCAAGGAATTCCGGAAACGGAACATTCTCTAAGTTCTTTCTGCAGTGAAGGTTCGGAAGACTTTATAAATGCCTCTGCAACAAGCTTGCTTTCACTTATAATGGTGACACAGTTACTTGCCGAATTTCCGAAGATACTGAAACAGCACTCCATGATGTCTACCATCTCTTTAACGGCGCACTCACTAAGGCCAAGAAAGACGCACAAAAGCCGTCCGGGAGGAAAACAACGTTTGTAAGCGGAGAGAGCTTGATAAACACAGTCTCTACAACATTTTATCCAACCTCCTTTTTGCATTTCTTCGTTATTCAAAATCCAGGTGGTCCCTCTTGTTGGAAGGGTGAAATCGTTACCAGATATCCAATCAGATGAAACTTCTTTGAAGTCATCGAGGCTTCTGAGTTTTGCTCTTGGTGCATCGGTTGTTTCGTTCCAAACATAGTGCAGGCCATCCTTTTTGGAAGCAGCATCAAACAAATCAAATACTGCAAGCCAAGGGATGTTTTGCAGGAAAGCCAGATGTGGTGTTCCTCTGTACTGGGGAGGCAACTTGTTGGCAATTAAAATGTAGCCGAAGTCTTTAGAGTTCACGTCACGCAATCGGTCTCTTACCAATGTACTGAATCTCTTGACGTCAGAATCATCGATATCCGGGATTGGGCCTGTGGCAATAACAAGACGACTCGATAATACCTTTTATTCTGAATCTAATTTGCTACGGAGAAATGTAATAAGAGGTAATTTGTACAGATATGAAAATAAAACCGGTTTTTTTTAATTATTTGACTTTACAAACTACTAAATGTGCTTACCTTCGAGTGATTCACTGATACCTAGAAGAAAAAACCCAAAGTAAACCACTGATTTGGACTTGAAACCACGGTAACCACCTATTTAATCTTGAAAATAACTCGCACTGTACATGAATGAATGCCTTTAAACTGTTAGGCATCAAACTCTCTCGTATTATTTAGTTGCTAATCGAACATTTGGGATAAAAGAAAAAGCTTGCCAAAACATGGTTTAATTCTGCTACTGGTAGGTTTTTCCGTTCTACCATTTTAGATCTTAGAGTGTAGCATCTATATATCCACCAACCACCATATGAGATCACAAGTAGAAAGCAAACACACTTACCGTGTTTTGTCTCCCTCTTCCATTCTTTATACTTTGCCGTCAGAGGTTCTTTCACCTGTCTGTTAACTTCATGCTGCTTCACACTGCTGGATGCGCCACTGGTTCGAATGGCAACGTCATCAGATTCATCTTTGTACACTTTGTAAAAGTCACTGAGTTTCTTTGTACATAGATCCTTCTCAATCTTGACTCCTCGTTTCTCAGTCCAACATTTGCTATAGTAAACATTGTCTTTACACAATTTCCAGTCACGAGAGACCTCGATTTCAACGACACACAAGTTTGTGCGATTTCCCTCACTCGTTACAGGAATGAACTCTATGTTGACGCAGCTCTGATCTCCTCCTTTTTTGAGGGGGCCATCATCACTCTTAATGTGATCATCAAGGACGAATTGAAAAGCCTTCATTATGTCATCTATTACATCTTCCACGTCAAGCCCGAGAATCTCACCTCGTTTAAACCTTGAATTCTGTTCTTGACAGTCTCCAACTCCAAAATAAATGATGCCTTTTCTATCAGCATTTAAGCAGGCGCAAATGAACTTTTTTGCTTTGTCCATGATTTTCCAAGGAAGTGATGAAGGCTGTGCACTCGTAAGAGATTTAAATTCCACCTCCCTGTTCTCTTCTGCATCGAGGACAAAGCCCTTTGGATAAGATGTGTCCTTGCCTTTGACTCCAAATGGTCTTGGGACGCCTGCATCAAAGTTGACATAATTTAAAATATAGTTTTTAATTAGTAGCATAAAATTAGAAATTTTGTCACTTTTACGTACACTAGTCGCGAGAAAAGCTTCTAATTAGAAAAACCTGTGATATGAAATAATCTTACACGAGTGACGACCTTCTGTTTTTGCTGCTTGCTCAGATGCTTGAACGTCTTTAATTAAACATACACCAATCAAAGCAAAATCAAAACATCAAAGTTAGCTTTGATTCTTTTTTTTTTCTTTTCTAAAAAAAAGGTAGCTTGCAACTGCAAAACTTGTTTTCCCGATTAAGCGTCTTCACCTGATATAATCGCCTACTTATGTGCTAGCATATTTAAATTGGACATCATTTGCTCTCCTTAGGATGCAGTCAGAAAGTCGGAAGGTTCATCGCCAAATATAATGTATTGTCTTAATTATATAAATTATCCCGACCCCTCTGAGTTTGAAACTGAAAACATGAGAGTTAGTAATACGTGGGAAGGACTTTTAAAGGATGATTGCATATGCATACTTACACTTTAAAACTGGTTCAGAAACCTCCTTACAGTTGTGTATCTCCAGCAAATCATTTTTTCCTTCTGCTCCGATTCCCTGGTTGGAAATTTCTTGTTTCAAGAACGTGCCACTACTTTCCTTTGCATTGTGACTGGAAACCAATTTGCCAGGCTGCATTTTTTCTGAACCAGAATCTTTTTCTTTTGAAACTAATGGTTCCGCTACGTCGGAAATAGCCACGTCACTTGCTGAGGTCTTTGTCATGGTGGTTGGGTTACGTTTTGGAATATTGCCGTTTTCGTCAATCAAACTGGTGTACCCTCCTAACATATCGCCCATTTTATCTTCCTGTTTAACGTCAAGCTCATTCTCACGTTCTTGGGCGAAACTGTCAGAATCATTCGTTACCAAGCCTTTGTGAAAAATAGGAAAAAATATACCCATTTATTCGTCCATTCGTTTGTAAATCAAGAGTAAAACGGTTCTTCCAATCAGAAAGTGAACGTTCAGAATCAGACGCATATGAATTAAGAATACCTAAATAAGAGCTCTAAATAAAATTGGCCATGATCGCCAACACCAACAATGCAATACAATACCAAACCGTACCGTGCCGTGTATCGGACAACAATGCACGATGCTCCGTTGCAATTGTTCCATTGGAGGAGCCCGTTTCCGGATCTGAGGACGTCTTATCTTCAGGCTCATTATCGGCAGCCACCGTTTCGCTAGCTTCGGTTTCTTTTGCGGCACTTTCCTGACTCTCGTTTGCTCCAGCATCACCCGCTCTCTGGACTTCAAGGTCTACCAATTCATAAAAAAAGAGAAAATGGTTATTTGTGAAAGAATTTCATGATCAGTCATGCGTTACGCAGCGAAAACTGAGTTGCGGTGCGGTAAACTTAATCAGTTAAAATTGTCGTTCGTTATTCTACAAGAAAACCTTTGGTGCATGGACAAGCAAATACAATGGAATCCTAAACTAAAATATTCCGTAGTGAATATATGGATTACAAAAATATATAGAGCTCTAATATGAGACGGGTTTTCAAAGAAGAAAAATCAAGTATTACTACTTCTGATAGATAGCTTCGTACTCGATCGCAGGGTACCCTTCGGCATGTGTTGAGCTAGAACTCATTTCTACACCTGTGTTGGAGCATTATGCAATGAAACCAGTTGGGCATGTTACATCGGGGGAAACTTCAATTTTAATCCCTAATTCCTCATTAGTGAAACTAACCTGAAAGATCTGCCTGGTTTACTGTCGCCTTGAAATCTTTGTCAACCTTATGAGGTTTACTCGTTTCATCTTCACAGTGATCGAAAGCAACAGAGTCCACTTCCAGAAACCTCTTATTTACAGCTAAAGGTGGCACGTCTTTCTCTTGGTTTTCTTTTAGGGATTTCCTGAACGAAGTACCCTTAAGATCTTGGACTTGTTGATCTGTTGGGAAAAACAACAAACTTCTGATATAGTTTATGAACAATAGGACGATGCATATCTGACCGTAAATTGCGTCGGTAGATTTGTCTGCCATTTTTCATTTCAATTATGTTGCTGTAGGTAGGTAGAGCGTAAGGAACAATACTGAAAAACCATAGTGATGCAGTGCTTTTATCTCTCCATTTATTCAAGAAGTCAGAAATTAGGAGAGTTCTTTATGATTGAGGGGAACAGAGCTACCCTATAATTCCCCGTGAAGAGATTCCCATAGCCACCCTACGCGGCCCGTTGAAAAGGTGTGGCTGCTGGAACGGCGAGATTTGTTCAGTCCGTAAACTGGAAATCAAGCTATAAAACTTTGGGGGGATTAAATTTTGTTAGCCTTCGAAAGAATAAAAGGAAAAGAAATGCTTGCCAATGGGCGATTGAAATTACTTGTATGTGAATTTTTCCAAAGCGTAGTTTACAAGAGAGGTCTTGCAACTGTAAGAGAGCTCTACTTGGAAATTTCATCATGATAGACATATATACATTTAGACTTTACTTGTCTGAAATACCTGTCTGATGGGTGAGTATTTCAACATCATCGTCTGATGGGGGAGGATCGTTGTTTGCTGTCACAACATCGGTGTCCTCTGTAGTAGGCGATGAACTCAGTAAATCTCCCTGACCATTTTCTTGTTCCTTTGGTTTGATCAGTAATTTCATGGAATCACTGATGCAGCTATCAACGGTACTGTTTTCGTCACGAAAAACTTTAGAGGCCTCTTGAATAACCTCTAAGGTTTGTCCGTCTTTGAAAACCTCGGTCGGAGATTTGGGGCTCAGTTGTATAGAAAAATGTGTGTTCTCAGGTTCGTCATTTATGTTGTCAGTGACAACGATACTGTCTGTCTTTGGCGTTGTTTGAGTGAACATTTCCTCCAGTCCTGTTGATTAAAAAGGATCGTTAACTGTTTTAACAAACGCATTACAACAGCAACAAACAACAACAACAACAACAACAACAACAGCCACCATAATAACAACAACAACAGCAACATCGATACGGTTTTGTAAGTGTAAAGGGCAATGCAGTGTAGCAAGCAGGAAACGTAATAAGTGCTTCGATCCCACAACAATTAATGGCACCACTTTGGTTTTAGATGATAAATTATGCAGACTCTGCATGTAGTCTGTAGTTACGTCAGTTGTTTGGTTGTTGTTAGTTTACCGATCGCATGTCGTGCATTTCTTTGAACTTACCAGACTGACACTTTTGGTTGGATCTGTCATTTTGAACACTTGTGGAGTCTTGCTTATTCCTTAGAAGCTCTTGTGTAAGGCGGCTTTCAACTGGACTCAGCACGGAAACATTCATTGCTGTTTCACGAGGAATGGACTGGACAGCAGCTTCCTCTTCCTTTTCCGGTTGTCGCATGGTAAATTTGTCAGTATCCAACCTTCTACTGGTAGTTTCGATGACTTGGTCGGATATTGGAGACCTCTCTGTGGGTGCATTGTCACCACCCTTAGTGTTGGCTGGAGTGGCAGCACATGGACTGTCACTGATATCTTCTTCTTTGAGCTCATTCGCGACGTCTACTTTTGTGGTATTTTCTTGACTCTCAGTTGCTGTAGCATCGCTCCAACTTAGGGCTGCATGCTCTATCAAGTCATATGAAACGAAAATGGTTATTTCTTAAAGGGTAAAAGGGTATGCCTTACATAGCGATAAGGGAATTAGACTGAATGATACTAAATCAAAACATGTCAGTCGTAACTTGTGCAAGACAACCTTCGGTGGGCAAGCAAATAAAATGAAATCCCCAAATTGAAATATTGCTTAGTAGCAATTATATAGCTTGCAAGAATATGTGGAGCTTTAAAATGGCACTGAGTTAAAGGGAATCAAGTATTCCTCCTCATCACGGATAAGTTTGTACTCGATCGCAGGGTACTCTCCAACATTTGTTGCGCTACCCTAACGTTTAGCTGGACCTCATTTCTCTACACCTGTGTGGAACCCATTGCAATGAAACTAGTAGGACATGTTTCAGTCGAGGAAACCACAGCTTTACTCACTAACTTCTCATGAGTGAAACTAACCTGGAACATTAGTCCAGTCTATTGCTGTCTTGAAATCTTCATCAAGTCCATCAAATTTACTTGTTTCATCTTCAGGGTGGGCGACAACAACAGACTCTACTTTCAAGAATCCCTCTTTTAGAAATGAAGATGGCGCTTCTTTCTCTATGGTCTCTTCTTGGGATTTGCTGAAGGAAATTGTACTGTCAGAATCTTGGGCTTTGTGATCTGTTGTGTAAAGCAACAAAATTTTCATAAGATGTAGACCCCATCAGGGGGAAGGCGATGCATACGCGGCGGCCGTGAATTGCGTCGACCAAATTTGCCTGGCATTTTCAGTTCAATTGTTATTGTTCGTGGGTACGGCATCAGGACAAATAGTGAAAAACCACAGCAATATAGTGCTTTTAACTCCTCATTGATTCAAGGAGTCATATAAATTTTAAGAGGTCTTGAGGATGGAGGGGAGTAGCTCTACTCTATTTCTTCGTGAAGAGATTCCCACACCCGCCCAACGCACCTCTTTGATAAGGTCTGGAATCCTCGCGCTCGTGGTCTTCCGTTTTGCACGCTTCTTCTTGAGCCTGATCATCATCTTCAAGCCTTTCAAGGACAGACTCTTCATTTTGAGCGCAATTAGTTAGATTTTGGTTCCCGCTCTCTTTTTTGTAAGCATTGCCTGCTGCTGGAATGGCGAAATCTGTCAAGTCAATAAAATACTAGAAATCAAACTTTGGAATTTTGCAATTTCTGAAGCAGGTATAATGTCGTTAGCCTTCAAGAGAATACTAGGAAATGGTAATGGCAGCTAAAGGGCAAATTCATTTACACCAGTGGAAATTATCCCAAAGCTTAGTTAAACGAAAGCGGTTTTGCACCTGCAAGAGAGAGGGCTCTACTTGGGAATTTAATATAATTTGTAGACTTCAAACTCCTGCACATACACATATTCTGTATCTATTTGAAATACCTGTCTGGTGCGTGAGCATGTCAACAGCAACATTGTCTTCTGTAGTAGGCGACGGACTTAGTAAATTTCCCTGAGCGTTTTCTGGTTCGATGGAATCCCTGTTTTCGCCATGCAGGGCTTTAGCAGTCTCTTGAATAACCTTAAAGGTTTGTCCTTCTTTAAAAACCTCGTTGGGAGTTTTGGGGCCTAGACGTCCGATAAAATGCGCGTTTTCAGCTTCGTCATTTCTACTTTCGATGATTAAGGTGCTGTCTGTTTTGGGTGTTGTTTGAGGGAACATTTCCTCCAGTTCTGTTAATAAGAAAAGTTTCGTTACCAGATTTAACTAACGCGTTACAACAGCAACAACACCCACAGTAACAGCGGCAGCAGCAGTAGCTGAAGCAACTACAACAACAGCAACAACACTGTAACAGCAACACTGTTGTAAGCAATGCTGTGTCCCAGCGGAGAAACGTACTAAGTATTTCGAACCCAGAACAATGGCACGAATTGATTTTGATGGCAAGTTATACTTTAAATTTCATCTCTAGCTACGGCTCTGCTTGGTTACGTAATGTTAGCCTATCGTTACACTTTTTTATTCAACTTACCAGACTGACACTTCTGGTTGGATCTGTCATGTTGAACACCTGTGAGGTCTTGCTGATTCTCTCCAAGCTCTTGTGTAAGGCGGTGTCCGGCTGGACTTAGCCCGGAAACACTCAGTGCTGTTTCCCGAGGAATTTTGTTAGTCTCTTTAAGTGTACACTGGACGGCAGTTTCATCTTCCTTTTCCGGTTGTCGCAAGGTTGTCGCAGTATTCGACCTTTCACTGATAGTTTCAGTGACCTGATGGGATATCGGAGGCTCTTTTATTTGTGTAGAGTCTTCATTCTTTAGGCTGGCTGGAGCCAGGTTAAATGGACTACCACTGATGTCTTCTTTCTTCGGGACGTTCTTAAAGGTTGTAACATCTCCAGACTTTACAGGAACCTGTACATTGTCCTGAGGTGGGCCGGATGTTTCTGGTGTGGGGGCATCTAACGTTTCTGTTGATATATAAACGCAGAAATTTGCTTTATTTTCAGCTGGCGTTCTCTTCCTGAATAACGTGAATTATATTGTACAATTCAATACTGTACTGTACAATTACACACCAGATCTTTCGGTTAGAAGAACATGTTAAAATAACCTGCAAGAGTGCATTTTTCCGCATTCGTAGTATAGCTAAAATTAGGCGATACCTATCCCAGAGTACTACTGAGACTATTGTTCACGCTTACATAACATCGCGTTTGG